AATTTTTCGATATTTCAGTTTTGGGATTTTTAATATTTTGATTCCTCAGTTTCTCGATTCTTCAAAATTTTAATTTCCCGATTTTAAACATTTTTCTGTTTCTCAATTTTCCGATGTTGCAATTTTTGCAATTTTTCAATTTTTCGATTTTAAAATTTTTCAATTTCACAATTTTTGATTTTTCCAAATTTTAGATTTTCCAGTTTTTAAATCATTCAATTTGTCGACTTTTCAATTTTTCACTTTCGCACGTTTTTGATTTTTCAATTTTTGGATGTTTAATAATCGTCGATCAATGATTTGTCAATTTTTTTTAATTGAAAGATTTTCAGTTTTTTAATTCTTGGATTTTTTTTCATTTTCGATCGATGATTTGTCAATTATTTTTTTTAAATTAAATTTTTCAGTTTTACACTTTTTGACTTTTCGATTTTTCGATTTTGGGATATTTCGTTTTCTCAATTTTTCGATGTTTCTATTTTTCGATTTTCCAATTATTCAATGTCCCAATTTTTTGTCATTTCAATTTTGGAATCTTTAAATTTCTCGATTTTTCAGATTTTCGATTCTTAAAAGATTCAATTTTTCGATTTTTTAAATTCTGGAATTTTAGATTTCTGTTTTTCAATTTTTCGTCGTCTCAGTTTCGGGATTTTTCATTTTTGTCTATTGTTCAGTTTTTCAATTCTTCTATTTTTTAAATTTTGAATTTTTCAATTTTTTTATTTTCCGTGTACCGAGTTCTCGATTATTCAATTTTTCGATTTTTAAAGTTTTCGTCATTTCAGTTTTGGAATTTTTCAATTTTTTGATTTTTCAGATTTTTGATTGTTCAATTCCGATTTCTCAATTTTTCAATTCGTCGATTTTTTGATTTTTTGATGTTGCGATTTCTCGGTTTTTCAATTTTTGGCTTTTGGGTTTTTCAATTCTTCATTTTTTCGATTTGACTTATTCAATTTGTCAATTTTCAGTTTTTAAATTACTCAATTTTTCGATATTCCACTGCTGGGATTTTCAAATTTTCGTTTCTCCAAATTGTCCATTTTTCAAAATTTTCGATTTTCCGATTTTCTCATTTTTAGATTTCTCAATTTTCCAATGTTTCAGTTTTACGATTTTTCAATTTTTGTCGTATCTGAGTTTTCGATTTTTCGATTTTCAGATTTTTTGATTTTTCACTTATTCAATTATTCTTATTCACTTATTCAATTTTTGTGTATTTAAGTTCTGGATTTTTAATATTTCGTTTCCTCAATTTCTTGATTATTGAAATTTTCGATGTTTCAGTTTTGCGATTTTTCAATTTTTCGATTTTTAATTTTTTTATTTCTCAATTCTTTGACGTTTCCAAATTTTAGATTTTCCGCTTTCACGACTTCTCCATTTCTCGATTTTTAGATTACAGTTTTTCAATTCTTCAATCTTTCGACTTTTCAATTTTTCGAATTTTCAGGTGTTATAGTTCTCAATTTTTGGATTTTTAATAATTTACCATCGATGATTTGTCAATGTTTCTTCATTTTTAATTTTTCAGTTTTTCATTGTTTTGTCTAATTTCTCCACCTTTTCGTCCTTTTTCGTCCTTTTCGTCCTTTTGGTCCTTTTTCATCATTTTCGTCCTTATTCGTCCTATTTCGTCCTTCGTCCTTTTTCGTCCTTTTCGTCCTTTTCGTCCTTTTCGTCCGTTTTCGTCCTGTTCGTCTTTTTTCGTCTTTGTTTCGTCCATTTCGACCTTTTTCGTCCTTGTTAGCGCTTTTTCGTCCTCTTTCGTCCTTTTCGTCCTTTTGCGTCCTTCTACGTCGTTCTTCGTCCTTTACCGTCCTTCGTCCTCTTCCGTCCTATTTCATTCTTTTCGTCTTTTTCGTCCTTTTTCGTCCTTTTTCGTCCTTTTTCGTACTTATTCGACCTTTGTCGTCCTTACTCTTTTTTCGTCCTTATTTGTCCTTCGTCCTTTTTCGTCCTTTTTCGACCTTTTTCGTCCTTTTTCATCCTTCGTCCTTATTCGTTTTTTGGTTTTCGATGATTTATCGATTTTTCTTCATTTTAAATTTTTCTGTTTTTCAATGTTTTGCCGAGTTTCTCATCCTTTTTCGTTCTCTTTCGATCTGTTCGCCCTTTTTCGTCCTTTTTATCCTTTCCAGCCTTCTGGTCCTTTGCGTTTTTTTCGTATTTTTTATCTTTTTCGTCCTTTTCGTCCTTTTCGTCCTTTTCGTCCTTTTTCGTGCTGTTCGTACTTTGTCGTCCTTTTTCGACCTTTTCCGTCCTTTTTAGATTTGTTTCGTCCTTTGTCGTCCTCTTTCGTTCTTTTCGTCCTTTTTCATCCTTCTTCGTCCTTCTTCGTCCGTTACCCTCCTTCGTTCTCTTTCGTCCTTTTTCGTTCTTTTCGTCCTTTTTCGACCTTTTTCGTCCTCCGTTTTTTTCGTCCTTCTTCGTCCTTTTTCGTCCTTCGTCCTTTTTCGTCCTTTTCGTCCTTTTCGTCCTTTTCGTCCTTTTCGTCCTTTACGTCCTTTTCGTTCTTTTCATCCGTTTCGTCCTTTTGGTCCTTTTAATCCTTTTGGTCTTTTTGGTCCTTTTCGTCCTTTTGGTCCGTTTCGTACTTTTCGTTCTTTTCCTCCTCTTGGTCCTTTTCATCCTTTTGGTCCTTATTCGTCCTTTCCGTCCTTTTCGTCCTTTTTCGTCCTTTCCTTAATTTAGTGTTTTGTCATTTCAGTTTTGGAATTTTTCAATATCTCGGTTTTTCAAGTTTTCGACTGTTCAATTTTTCGATTTTTTAAATGCTGGATTTTTCCAATTCACGGTTTTTCAATTTTTCTACTTTTCGGCTTTTCGATCTCTCATTTTTTCGATTTTTAAATTTCAGGTTTTCAATTTGTCATTGTTTCGATTTAAAATTTTTTTATGATTCGACTTCTCGAATTTTCAATTTTTCTTGGATTTTTCAATTTTTCGGTATTTCAGTTTTGGGATTTTTAATGTTTTGATTCCTCAGTTTCTCGATTCTTCCAAATTTTGATTTCCCGATTTTAAACATTTTCAGTTTTTGCAATTTTTCAATTTTTTATTTTTCCAAATTTTAGATTTTCCAGTTTTTAAATCATTCAATTTTTTGACTTTTCAATTTTCCAGTTTCTCAGGTTTTTGATTCTTCATTTTTTGGATTTTTAATAATCGTCGATCAATGATTTGTCAATTTTTTTTAATTTAAAGTTTTTCAGTTTTTCAATTCTTGGATTTTTTATCATTTGCGATAGATGATTTGTCATTTTTTTTTTAAATTAAATTTTTCAGTTTTTCACTTTTTGACTTTTTGATTTTTCGATTTTGGGATATTTCGTTTTCTCAATTTTTCGATGTTTCTATTTTTCGATTTTCCAATTATTCAATGTCCCAATTTTTTGTCATTTCAATTTTGGAATCTTTAAATTTCTCGATTTTTCAGATTTTCGATTCTTAAAGGATTCAATTTTTCGATTTTTTAAATTCTGGATTTTTAGATTTCTGTTTCTCAATTTTTCATCGTTTCAGTTTCGGGATTCTTCATTTTTGTCTATTGTTCAGTTTTTCAATTCTTTTATTTTCCATGTACCGAATTCTCGATTATTCAATTTTTCGATTTTTAAAGTTTTCGTTATTTCAGTTTTGGAATTTTTCAATTTTTTGATTTTTCAGATTTTTGATTGTTCAATTCCGATTTCTCAATTTTTCAATTCGTCGATTTTTTGATTTTTTGATGTTGCGATTTTTGACTTTTCGGTTTTTCAATTCTTCATTTTTTCGATTTTAAAATTTTGTGTTTGTTGAAGTTAGATTTTTCAATGTTTCAAATTCTCGGTTTTTTGATGTTTCGTTTTTCGGTTTCAGTTTTCCAATGTTTCGATTTTTCCGTTTTGCAAATTTTTGAGTTTGTGGCTTTTCGAATTTTCGATTTTCCATTTTTTCAATTTTCCCAATTTTTCGGTTTTTCTTTTTGCCAATTTTTCGTCATTTCAGATTTGGAATTTTTCAATTGTTCTCGATTTTCCAGTTTTTCGATTTTTTAAATTTTGAATTTTTCGATTTCTAGGTTTTTCGATTTTTTCACTTTTCGGCTTTTCGATATTTCAATTTTTCGATTTATAAATTTTAGATTTTTAAATTTTTGAATTTTCAGTTAATTGATTTTTCAATTTGTACTTTCTGAGCGTAAGCGGCGACTAGCTATTTTCATATTTTCTCGAAATCCAGAATAGGAAAAAAATGGTCGCCCATTTCTGTCTGTCTGTCTGTCTGTGGGGATTTTTATTAGACAGAATACTAGTCCTCAAAACTACCAGACTGATTGTCAACTTGTGTAGATATATTCTATTTTATAAAAGTGGTCAAATCTGATTTATCATAGTTTTTAGAATTGCTTATACATGGTGTCAAAAATATTAACGAATGAGGCGGTTTATTATATTGATTAAATCGAAAACGACTCAGTACATTTTCCCGAAAATATACACACGATTTTAACTTATAAGGGATGTCATAAAAAATAAATTTCGCAGAATCAAACTTTAATTTGTGGTGCACTATCTCGTCCACGAACCAGCTTTTAATTAAAAGCGTAAAAGCCAAAGCTCTTAAAAATCTTTTCTTAATAAAGCACAAACAGTCGGGACCTTTGCAGTGTTTGCCTCCTTGCGGAAGTTTAAGCTGATCGAAGTGGAACAGCGGTTAATCGAGCCCCAATTAATATTAGTAAATTAACTCAATGGCACGTAATCTCCGATCCTTCAGCAAACTATGCAAATGTGAAAAGCTTTGCCGTGCCACGGACGAGCTTAATTAAACTTTGTCTCAGAATGCACAGATCGCAATTGAGTCTAACTGGAACGTGTAAGTCCTTGTTTGCCGAAGCCTAGTTAGAATACAGACAAAAATGGTTGCGTAACGAGTATTTAAAGCGGATCTGTGTGTATAGATGCATATTGTGGAACACTCCATAGAAAGTAAAAGTCACTAAATAAACTCACCTAGACGAATACAGCACCCTGCCGTCCTGATACAGCCTAACGAACTTGTTCGGGGTCGTTATAGTGTGCAAATACGACTGCTTTCCGTTGTAAAAATAAGTGTCGGGCTTCCAAATCCTCCCGAGCATCGAGATACTCAAAGCCAAAGTGTCGTTCGTGTCCCCGGGGAAGGCCAATCGTCGATCCACCCAAGATTGACGGAAGTAGCAATCCATCGAATACGTCTAGATCAACAAGTCGTGCGATTAAAATCCTGGATTAACATTGTGCTGGGATGTGAATGTTTAAAGGTACGGATTTTGGAAGGGAGCCAGCAGGCGGGGCGGAAACGGCGAAAGCAAACGCAAGGAAGCAAAAACACGAACGAATTCTTGCTTTCATAGCCAGATGAAAATTAAAACGGGGACTACACATGCAGATAGAGAAAAGTGAGAGATGGGAATTTTCGGATAAAAGGCGATATATTTATTGATAACGTTCTTTTCTTTTGTTGATGGGATTCGAGTTAAAAAAATTGGTCGAAGGTTGTTTGTATAGAACTTTTCTCGCGTCTGAAATGCACGCGGTTCTTTGATAAATTAAAAAAAGTTTGCGTTTCAAGTTTTAATTATGCAGTTTTTCAATTTTGAAATTTTTATATTTTGCAATTTTTCGATTTGAGTTTTTCGAGTTTTCTATTTTAAGTTTTCAGTTTCCCGATTTGCAATTTTTCGTGTCGATTTTTATTTCCTTTATTTTTTCAATTATTCGGATTTTCAATGTTCAATTTTATAAATTGTTTTCAATTTTAGTTATTCAATTTTCGTTTGTTTAATTTTTCGATTTGCGATTTTCAATTTTTCATTTTTTTTGTTTCTTCAATTTTTCGATTTTTCATATGTTGAATTTCTTCAATTTTTTATTTCTTCAATTGTTCAATTTGCAATTTTCCGTTTTCATTCTTTTGTTTCTTCAGTGTTTCGAGTTTTCAAGTTTAAATTTTTCAATTTTCCAACTTTCGAATTTCTGCAGTTTTTCGTTTTATTAATTTTTCGATTTGCGACTTTCAGTTTTTCATTTTTTTGTTTCTTCAGTTTTTCGATTTGCAGTTTTTCGAGCTTTCAAGTTAAAATCTTTCAATTTTCCAACTTTTGAATTTCTTCAGTTTTTCTCTCATTTTTTTGTTTCTTCAGTTTTTCGATTTGCAGTTTTCCGAGTTTTCAAGTTTAAATTTTTCGATTTTCCAACTTTTAATTTTCTTCAATTCTTCGATTTGCGATTTTCAGTTCTTCATTTTTTTGTTTCCTCTGTTTTTCGAGTTTTCAAATTTAAAATTTTCAATTTTCAAACTTTTGAATTTTTCAATTTTTTAATTTTTCAATTTTTCGATTTTAATTTCTCGAGTTTTTTATTTTAAGTTTTCAGTTTTCCGATTTGCAAATTTTCGTGTCGGTTTTTTTCCTTTATTTTTTTCAATTATTCAATTTTTCAATGCTTCAATTTTATAATTTTTTTTTAATTTTAATTTTTCAATTTTCGTTTGTTTAATTTTTCGATTTGCGATTTTCAATTTCTCATATTTTTGTTTCTTCAATTTTTCGATTTTCCATAAATGAATGTCTTCAATTTTTTGTTTCTTCAATTTTTCAATTTGCGATTTTCCATTTTCATTGTTTCTTCAGTTTTTCGAGTTTTCAAGTTTAAATTTTTCAATTTTCCAACTTTCGAATTTCTGTAGTTTTTCGTTTTATCAATTTTTCGATTTGCGATTTTCAGTTTTTCATTTTTTTGTCTCTTCAGTTTTTCGAGTTTCCAAGTCAAAATTTTCCAATTTTCCACCTTTTGAATTTCTCCAGTTTTTCGTTTCTTCAAATTTTCGATTTGCTATTTTCAGTTTGTCATTTTTTTGTTTCTTCAGTGTCTCGATTTGCAGTTTTTCGAGTTTTCAAGTTTAAATTTTTCAGTTTTCCAACTTTTAAGTTTCTTCAATTTTTTGATTTGCGATTTTCAGTTTTTCATTTTTGTTTCCTCAGTTTTTCGAGTTTTCATGTTTAAATTTTTCAATTTTCCAACTTTTGAATTCTTCAGTTTCTTGATTTCGCAATTTTTCGATTTCTGTTTTCATTTATTAAGTTTACAATTTTTCGATTCGCAATTTTTCGTTTCGGTTTATTATTGTCTTTATTTTTTCAATCATTCGATTTTTCAAGGTTTCTATTGTATTTTTTTTTCATTTTTATTTCTTCAGTTTTTTGATTTCCTATTTTTCAATTTTTCATTTTTCTTATTACGTCAATATTTAGATTTTGTTTTTGTTTATTCAATCATGTGTTTGTTAATGTGAGTTTTTGTTTTCAAATTTTTCATTTTTCCTATTTCCCAACTCTTGGATGTATGAGTTGTTTGATTTTGTAAATTTTCGATTTACAATTTCACGAGTTCTCAATTTTTAGATGTTTTAATTTTTTTTATTTCTTTAATTTTTCAATTTGCAATTTTTCGTTTCGGTTTTCATTATTTTTATTTCTTGAATTTTAGAAAATTTTTCAGTTTTCCGATTTTCCAACATTTGTATGTTTAAACTTTTAGATTTTGCAATTTTCCGATTTGAAATTTCTCGGAGTTCCCAATTTTTAATTTTTCAATTTTACGATAAGAATCGAGTTTAGAGGTTTCATTTTAAATTTTTTTCAGTTTTCCGATTTTCTAACTTTTGGATCTTTCAATTTTTCGAATCTTTGATTTTTCGTTTCTTCAGATTTTCGACTTACAACTTTTAGTTTCGGTTTTAATTTTTTTATTTTCAAAATTTTTCGTTTTTCTAAAGTTTCCATTTTATAGTATATATTTTGGTTTTACAATTTCACTTTTCGTTTTTTCAATTTTTCAATTTTTATTTTTTTTTATTACTTCAATTTTATAATTGTTTTCAGTTTTCCGATTTTCCAGCTTTTGGGTGTTTAAATTTTTTGATTTTGCAATTTTTCGATTTGAAATTTTCCGGAGTTCTCAGTCTTTAATTTTTCAATTTTTAGATTTTTCAATTTTTCATTTCTTTAATTTTTCGATTCGGTTTTTCATTTTTTTTAGAATTTTTCGATTTTCCAATGTTCCGATTTTATAATTTGTTTTTTCAATTTCAATGTTATCGATGTTTCGTTTTTTCAATTCTTCATTATTTTTATTTCTTGAATTTTATAGAATTTTTCAGTTTTCCGATTTTCCAGCATTTGATTGTTTAAACTTTTAGATTTTGCAATTTTCCGATTTGAAATTTCCCGGAGTTCCCAATTTTTAATTTTTCAATTTTTTATTTATTTTGCTTCTTCAATTTTACGATAAGAGTCGAGCTTCGAGTTTTCATTTTAAAATTTTTCAGTTTTCAGGTTTTCTAACTTTTGGATGTTTCAATTTTTCGAATCTTTGATTTTTGATTTCTTCGGGTTTTCGACTTACAACTTTTGGTTTCAGTTTTAATTTATTTATTTTCATAATTTTTCGTTATTCTAAAGTTTTCCATTTTATGTTTTTTTGGTTTTACAATTTCACTTTTCGTTTTTTCAATTTTTCAATTTTTATTTTTTTTTATTACTTCAATTTTATAGTTTTTTTCTATTTTTCGATTTTTCAGCTTTTAGGTGTTTAAACTTTTTGATTTTGTAATTTTTCGATTTGAAATTTTCCGGAGTTCTCAATCTTTAATTTTTCATTTCTTAAATTTCTCAATTTTTCAGTTCTTCAGTTTTTTGATTCGGTTTTTCATTTTATTTTTAAATTTTTCAATTTTTCAATGTTCCGATTTTATAATTTTTGGTTTTTTCAATTTCAATTTTTTCGATTTTTCGTTTTTTCAATTCTTCATTATTTTTATTTTTTCAATTTTATAAAACTTTTCAGTTTTTCGTTTAACCAACATTTGGATGTTTAAACTTTTAGATTTTGCAATTTTCCGATTTGAAATTTCCCGGATGACTTTTGGTTTCGGTTTTAATTTTTTTATTTTCAGAATTTTTCGTTTTTCCAAACTTTCCATTTTATAATTTTTTGGTTTTACAATTTCACTTCCGGTTTTGCAATTTTTCAATTATTATTTGTTTTTTATTACTTCAATTTTATAATTTTTTTCAGTTTTCCGATTTTCCAGCTTTTGGGTGTTTAAACTTTTTGATTTTGCAATTTTTCAATTTGAAATTTTCCGGAGTTCTCAATCTTTAATTTTTCAATTCTTAGATTTTTCAGTTTTTCATTTCTTCAATTTTTCGATTCGGTTTTACATTTTTTTTTTCAGAATTTTTCAATTTTTCAATGTTTCGATTTTATAATTTTTTGTTCCTTCAATTTCAATTTTTTTGATTTTTTGTTTTTTCAATTTTTCATTATTTTTATTTCTTCAAGTTTACAAAATATTTCAGTTTTCCGATTTTCCAACATTTAGATTATTAAACTTTTAGATTTTGCAATTTTCAGATTTGAAATTTCCTTTAATTTTTCAATTTTTCATTTTTTTATTTTTTTTTGTTAATTTTTTTCTTCAATTTTACTATAAGAATCGAGCTTCGAGTTTTCATTTTAAAATTCTTCAGTTTTTCGATTTTCTAACTTTTGGATTTTTCAGTTTTTCGAATCTTTGATTCTTCATTTCTTCAGATTTTCGAATTACAACTTTTGGCTTCGGTTTTAATTTTTTTATTTTCCTAATTTTTTGGTTTTTCAATTTCACTTTTCGTTTTTCAATTTTTCGTTTTTTTTTATTACTTCAATTTTATAAATTTTTTCAGTTTTCCGATTTTCCAACTTTTGGATGTTTAAACTTTTAGATTTTGCAATTTTTCTATTAGAAATTTCCCAGAGTTCTCATTCTTTAATTTTTCAATTCTTAGATTTTTCAATTTATCATTTCTTCAATTTTTCGATTCGATTTTTATTTTCTTTTTTTTCAAAAATTGGGTTTTGTCAAAGTTCTGATTTTATACTTTTCTTTGTTCAATGTAAAATTTACCAATTTTTGGGTTTTTCAATTTTTCACGTTCCAAATTTTCGATTTTTCAATTTTTAGATTTTTTAATTTTTCGTTTTTTCATTTTCAGTTTTCACTTTCTCTATTTTTCAATTTTTCGTTTCTTCAATTTTTGATTTCCAATTTTTCTAGTTTTTATTTTAAATATGTATCTAATAATAATCATAATTTTTAAAATTTTCCACTTTTTGAATTTGACTGTTTTAGAATTTTTCCATTTTTCAATAATTGGATTTTTCTTCAGTTTTCGGTTTTTAATTTTTCAATTTCTCTATATTTAATTGAACAATTTTTCGATCTCTTTTTAACCATTCTGTGATTTTTTTTTTAATTTTAGGTTTTCCAGCTTTTTGAATCGATTCCTTCTTCTTCTTCGGCAGCTTTTCGTTTATCCACCTTTTTCCGATTTTTTTATTTTTTCCAATTCAATTTTTCAAATCAAATAATTGAAAGAATTGCAGATTGTAAAATTAAAAAATCAAAAATGAAGAAACAAAAAATTATAAAATGAAAACTTTGAAAAATCGAAAAAAAATATAGAAAATTAAAGTATGAAAAATCTTGTAGAAAAACGAGAAAATGAAAATTAAAAAATTGGGAAAATGAAAAATAAGAATCAAGAACTTAAAAAATTGAGGAAAGGAAGAATTGAAAAATTTGTAGGTCGAGAAATCGAAAGATGTATTTTGAAAATTAAAGTTTCCAAAACGGAATATTATGAAATTGAAACAGTGAAAATGGAAAAATTGAAAATTAAAGAATGAAAAAACGGAAAATTGTAATATCAAAACAATCTAAAATCTAAGAAAAGTGAGTCGTTCTTGATTTAATCAATGGAATAAACTGCCTCATTCATGAATTTTTTGAGTCACTCTGTATAAGTAATTTTAAAAACTATGAGTGGTGTGCATTGATAAACCACAAGTATAGAGCTAACAAATTGACTGTTGTAAATTTTGTAGATGACGTCATTAAATTGTTGGTAGGGATGGTGACCCAATTTTTGGATGGCGTTTTACGATATACATGTCAGTCCTAATAGACATACAAAATTTGATAACAATTTGTCTAATAAAAGTCCGGACAGACGACAGATAGACAGACAGACAGTCAGCTTCTGCTCGTGAAGTAAACCAAAGTTTTGATGAAACTTCCAGGAGCAACATTTCCCCACATATTTATTTATCATGCCCGTAACATGCATCTAGTAGTTCGCCCGATTCCACTAAACGACAAGCTCCCAAACTTCTTTAATTAAACAAACTGAAACAGTATGATTAATGTTTACCATATCGACTTCGGAGATTGGGCCCATGCTGCGCACCATGATATCAACTTCGACGATTGCGGGCGGGCCTAGATGTAATCAGCGATAAAAGACATAAATCTTACGTTTGTTTATTTGCCGTACCGCCAAAGTCCGGCCTGATGCTGTTATCGTATCCCCGGAGCAGATTATCGAGGAGCGTCGAAATGTTCTGGTGATTGTTGATTTGCGGCGCCCTGGAAGATTGTTTGAGGGACACACCTGAACTGGTTTCAAACTTGGTTAGCAACGAAACGGCCAGCCAAAGTTGAAACCGCTTCATCCTGTTGCTGAAACAAAGGATCAATTTTCATGTGGATTTTTAGAGAGGGTCGGATTGAAACTTTGTCGAGGCGATCTCGTTCCAGGCAACGGACGACAATGGGGTAAAATAATAAGCCGTAAATCAGAAATAAATAAATGGGGATTTCGAGAGTTATCTCGCTTTTCTGCTGTGCCGGCCACACTTAAAGGGATATTATCATAATTATTTTAAACCGCAAACCACCACACAGAATATTTTCACGTCAACGGACAATTTCTGAATCAACGACAAAAAATGTTCTTTGACCGACCACATTTTATTTATTTTTGTTATTACAATCGTAATAAGGCATAAAATTTTTCATTTCGCCTCAAATTAATAAATGCGTTTATTGCGTCGTAAAATGTTATAACCGGCTAATTTTAACAGAAAACATCAAGCAACATTAATTTGTCGCGTTCAAAAAGGTAATAAATATCTCCTCGAATTGCCAAGAGGTGTATATGAGAAGCTTGACACGCGAAAAATGGATATTCACTTTATTTTATTTTTAAAATAAAACGAGCTCTGAAAGAGACACATGTCTGGAACAAGTATCTGGAAAACAAAATGTTGGATCTGTATTAATTCACGTTTAAAAACAACAATGTCCTGTCAGATTATTTCACTAAACGGTTTTCATATTTTTTAATGACAGTTTTGTTTCTCGAAAAAAATCCAAAAAATCAGATTCAGTACGCAAGAATTACGTTAAAGTTTTGTAATTCCAGAATAAATTTTAGTATTTTGTCAAATTTTGAATGATTTTGTTGGTAAATAAAAACGTACTATAGAGGTTGTATAAGCAGTTTATCGTTGTGTGTAAATCAAATACTGATGAATGTCTTCTCGTCCCGGAAAGTGAGGAACTGCGGCTCTCTGCTTGATCCGCTCATCGTAGAATAAATTGTATCAATTGCCGTAATAATTAACGTAAAAATCTGGAGGCCAAAAAGAAGTACGTTCTGTTACAAAATTTGCATGAAATTTATTTCGCAAAATTATGACATTTCAATATCGCGATGATTCGAAATCCAAAAAGTCGAAAAATTGAAAAATCCAGAAACTGAAAATTTTTCAAAATGAAAGTGTTCAAAAATTGATACATTTTTCATGAAAAATCGAGAAAATTAATAACCGAAAAGTCGAAACATTTTTCAAATCGATTTAGAAAATCGTAAGATCGAAAAAATAAAAAATTCGAAAAATAGGTAAATAGAAAAATTGAAAAATCTAAACATCGAAAAAATGGAGAATCTAAAACCTCAGTTGAAATCGAAAAGTTAAAAAATAAAAAAATAAAAAAATTAAAATAAAAAAGAAATGGAGAAATTGAAACATCGAAAAACTGAAATATTCGAAAAATCCAAAAATCGGAATTTCAAAAAAACTGAAAAATCTAAAATTCAAAATTCGAAAAATAGCAAGATTGAAATATCAAAAAGCCGAAAAATTGAAAAATTAAAAGTCTAAACTTCAAAAATCTAAAAATTGAAATATCGAAAAGTAGAATATCGCGAAATCGAAAAATCCAAAAATCCTAAATTCAAAATATTCAAAGATGCCGAAACTGAAACATCGGTAAATTGAGAAATCGAAAAATTAAAAACCGAAAAGTGGAAAAATCGAAAAATTAAAAACTGAAAAGACGGGGAATTGAAATCGAAAAATAAAAAATTTGTAAACGTCAAAAATTAAAAAGTCGAAAAATTTTCGATTTATAATTTTTTCGATTTTTCAATTTTTGATCGAAATTTCAAAAAATTGAAAAACCGACAGGTCAAGAAGCGAAGGATGGAAAAACCGAAAAGTCGAAAAGTCAAGAAGTCGAAAAATCGAAAAATTGAGAAATCGAAATAGGCTAAAGTCGAAAAATCGAAGAAAAGTTAAAAATTGAAAATGTGAAAAATGTTAAATTAACAAAAATCTGTAAAACGAAAAATGGAAAAATTGAAAAATAAAAATATCGAAAAACTGAAAAATCGAGAAATCGAGAACTCGAAAAATCAAAAAATTGGAAAATCAAAATATCAGAAAATGGAATAATCGAAAAATTAAAAAATCGGGAAATCAGAACATCAAAAAATTTAAAATTTAAAAAATGGCATGTCGAAAAACTGAAAAATCGAAAAATTCGAAAAATAGGTAAATAGAAAAATTGAAAAATCTAAACATCGAAAAAATGAAGAATCTAAAAACCTCAGTTGAAATCGAAAAGTTAAAAAATAAAAAAATTAAAAATTTAAAATCATAAAAAATAAATGGAGAGATTGAAACATCGGAAAACTGAAATATAGAAAAATTTTAAAACCGAAAATCGAAAAATCAAAAATCAAAAATTATAAAAAGGAAAAATCAGAAAATTGTAATACCGAAAAATCTAAAACGGAGAAGTCAGAAAATCGAAAAACCCAAAAATCGGAACTTCAAAAAAACTGAAAAACCTAAAATTTCAAAATTCGATAAGTAGGAAGACCGAAATATCAAAAAACCGAAAAATTGAAAAATTAAAAAGCAAAACTTCAAAAAACTAATAATTGAAAAATCGAATAAGTAGAATATTGAGAAATCGAAAAATCAAAAAATCCTAAATTCAAAATATTGAAAGATCCCGAAACTGAAACATCGGTAAATTGAGACATCGAAAAATTAAAAACCGGAAAGTGGAAAAATCGAAAAATTAAAAACTAAAAAGTCGGGGAATTGAAATCGAAAAATAAAAAATTTGTAAAAGTCACAAATTAAAAAATCGACAAATTTTCGATTTATAAAGTTTTCGATTTTTCAATTTTTGATCGAAATTTCAAAAAAATTGAAAAACTGGAAGCTCAAGAAGCGAAGCATGGAAAAACCGAAAAGTCGAAAAGTCAAGAAGTCGAAAAATCGAAAAATTGAGAAATCGAAATAGGCCAAAGCCGAAAAATCGAAGAAAAGCTAAAAATTGAAAAAGTGAAAAATTTCAAATTAACAAAAATCTGCAAAACGAAAAATGGAAAAATTGAAAAATAAAAATATCGAAGAACTGAAAAATCAAGAAATCGAGAACTCGAAAAATAAAAAAATTGGAAAATCAAAATATCAAAAAATCAAAAATTTAAAAAATGGCAAATCGAGAAACTGAAAAATCGAAAAATTGAAAAATTCGAAAAATAGGTAAATAGAAAAATTGAAAAATCTAAACATCAAAAAAATGAAGAATCTGAAAACCTAAGTTGAAATCGAAAAGTTAAAAAATAAAAAATTTAAAATTAAAAAAAAAAGAAATGGAGAGATTGAAATATCAAAAAACTGAAATATCGAAAAATTTTAAAACCGAAAATCGAAAAATCAAAAATCGGAACTTCAAAAAAACTGAAAAATCTAAAATTTCAAAATTCGAAAAATAGGAAGACTGAAATACCAAAAAACCGAAAAATTGAAAAAGTAGAATATGGAGAAATCGAAAACCGAAAAGTGGAAAAGTCGAAAAATTGAAAAACTGAAAAATCGAGGAATTGAAATCTAAGGATAAAAAATTTGTAAACGTCAAAAATTAAAAAATCGAAAAAAATTTTTCGATTTTTCAATTTTTTATAGAAATGTCGAAACATTGAAAACCCGAAAGGTCAAGAAGCGAAGCATGGAAAAACCGAAAAGTGGAAAAGCCAAGAAGTTCAAAAATCGAAAAATTGAGAAATCGAAATAGGCCAAAGTCGAAAAATCGAAGAAAAATTGAAAAACTGAAAAATCGAAAACTGAGGACTCAAAAAATCGAAAAATCGACATCAAAAAAACTGAGAAATCTAAAATTTAAAAATTGGAAAAATAGAAAATTTGAAATACAAAACCGGAAAATTGAAAAATTAAAAATCTGAACTTCAAAAATTTAAAAATTGAAAAATCGATAGAGGAAAATATCGAGAAATCGAAAAATCCCAAAATCCTAGATTAAAAATATTGAAATATCCTAAAACTGAAACATAGGTAAATTGAGAAATCGAAAAATTAAAAACCAAGCAGTGAAAAGGTCGAAAAATTAATAAATTGAAAAACTGAAAAATCGAAAAATCGAGAAACTGAGAAATCGAAAGATCGAAATTTTATAAACGTCAAAAATTGATTTTTCGATTTTTCAGTTTTTCATCAAAATTTCAAAAAAATGAAACACCGAAACGTCAGATAACGAAGCATGGAAAATCGAAAAGTCAAGAAGTCGAAAAATTGAGAAATCGAAGTAGGCCGAAATCGAAAAATCGAAGAAAAGTGATAAACTGAAAAAATGAAAATTTTCAAAATAACAAAAAATCTATAAAACGAAAAATCGAAAAATTGTAAAACCGAAAAATCCACATATCGAAACATCAAAAAAATTAAAAATCTAAAATTTAATAATTTGCAAATATGGAAAAACTGAAAAATTGATAAATCGAGAAATATAAAATTTAAAGAATCGAAAAATTCAGTACATAATTGAAAATTTGAGAATTTGAAAATGGAGAAATTGAAAAATCGACAAATTGAGAAACCGGGATTTATGAATACGTGTTGAATTTTTATTTAATGTTCGAGATTTCTGGAGAAAGAACGAAAGTTGAAGATTTTTTGGCTTCTCGATTTCTCGATTTTTTAAGTTTTTGATTTCTCAATTGTTGAACATTTCAAGTCTGGGAATTTTTTAATTTCCGGGTTTTTAAATTTTTCGATTTTTTTAGGTTTATCTGGCGATTGTTCTATTCGTATTGTTTAAGTAGTGCTTAGTATTAAGGCGCTTGTAACGTATGTCTTTGATTTTTACCACTTTAATAAAAAACAAAAAATTAATCAAAGCTTAATTGAAGCGAAAAATTGATGTCATAATTTTACACTGAATTCTGAATCTGTTTCTTTTTTAATGAATTACTCATTGTATAATATGATCCAATTATTTAGAAATAGCCGTGCCTAAATACCGAAACATTTTTCTTTTCCTAAGAAACTTTGGTCCCTAAATACTTATAAAGGGCAGTCTACATCTTAAAGCGGCGATCTAATAGTGGGTCGAATTTTTTGCGGCATTTTTTAAACTTGGGTTTTACTTTGTCGGACAAATTCCGGAAAAATACACAAAGACTTTGTGAAATTATTAGCTTTTATGTCGTTGTTCCATAAGATGGATTAAATTTTTGGCTTGCCAAAACATCCCTTCGGGAAGTTAAGACGTGACGTTTTATCGTCACAGAGCTTGGAGATTTTTCCGCCTAATATTGAAATAGTGAAAATAATTCGACAAATTGAAACGAACCCTTAAAATATATTCTACAAACTGTGAAAGGATGAGGAAAAAAAATGTAGCTGCGAAAAATTTTTATTGGCAAAAACCTGGACGTACGACAGGACAAAGAATGGCTACATCGGAGGATCCATGTTTTGAATTTCTTCGATTTCTTCCTTGACGTTACAGAGACAATCCGGGTTGTCGCACTGTCTGTTGTCGTCCATATTTTCGTCGCCGTCCTTGTGGTCGTCGGGATACGGGTCTGCACACCACATTATCATCATTATTATTATTACCAGTGTTCATTTACCTTTACTCAGGTCATCCCCTCTCTTCTCCTCGCCCCGGTTTTCTCTATCCCCGGCGCTCCTTCTCCTCCTCCTCCTCCTTCTCTTCTTCTCGCCGCCTTTCCTTCGCCGCCTCCGCAGCTGCTTCACCGGGAAGTCGCTGTCGCTGTCGCTGAACCTCAGGCTCTCCGAGTCGCTGCCGTGGTGCCTGTGGGCGCGCACCGGGAGCACGGCGTGATGCCGCCCCCGGCGCCGCCGCCGCCGCTTCTTCGTTTTCTGCATCCTCTTGCGCCTCCGGCACTCGGCGCAGTCCTTGAAGGGGTCCAGGATGCCGATGTTGATCCTGAACTTGCCGGCACGCTGCTTCACGATGCCATTAGTCGTGGCGTGATTAAGGGCTCGTCGAACCTGGGTGGATAGATTTCGCGGTGCCGGAAACGAATCGTTGTGGTGGAGCGAGGATTTCACATGAGTGACGATTTTGTTGCTGTTGGAGCCGCCGGTTTCCTTCAGCTCGTAGATGGCTTGCAGGACTTCGGGTAAAAAACGTGGTGGGCGGGTGGTTTTTTTCATTGTGTGTCGCACGGGGTCGGTTTTTTGCCTTTGGTTTATTATTTAGAGGAGGTCGAGGGATCACTGATAAAGATAATTTTGAATTTGTTTTATCTGAAGAGTAGAGCTTTAATTTTGGATGGGGTGACTTTTCAACACTTACCGAAATAAATTTTGGACGTTTTGGTAAACAAAGCGTTGTTAGGAAAGCGAAAAAGCAGAGCCGGGGCGATTTTTGCATTAAACAGTCCAGAAAACACGTATGTGCCATGACGGTCTTATTTACCATTGAAATTTTTAGAAACCTCAAAAAATTTGAATTTCACAGCGAATATTTAGAAAATGCTTGTCGGCGTAATTTTAGGTCCTTTGGTGTTTTATTTTTGGATAAATTTAAAGAAATCTCGTGTTTTGTTGCTGGATGAACTTGAAAAAATTTTTTGAGCGTTTAGTGTTTTATTTTTTACGAATCTGAAAAAGTCTTGAGTGCCGCAGTGTTTTTATTGTTTTTGTGGACATTTTTTGTAAACTATTTAAAACAATTTTGAGGGACTTGGGTGTTTTATTTTTGGAAAATTCTGACCTGACCTGCTTTTGAGTTAATTTTGGGACCCCTGCTATAGTTTTGGAAATTTCATTCTACCCTATAAAATTTTATTGACGATAATGAGACGGATAGTAGTACAATGGTAAGAAATATTTATCGCTCCAACAAGTTCACTCGAATTTGTCTGAGAACATTTACCAGGTAGTTCTACTCATAAAATAATGGTCATTTCTGTTCATGAGTAACGATTGTCCCTGTCCGGATCTGCATTATTCTGCTTTCTAACCTCTGGGGATTTCCGGCACGCGACAACTTAAGTTGTAAATATCTTTTGCTATTGTACTACTGTCCGTCTCGTTATTGATAATAAAATTTTATAGGGTGCAATAAAATTTCCAAAACTATACTTGGCAAAAATAAGACGAATTTTGTCAAATGATCAATCTTAGAATTATTCGATCTTACAATTTCCCGATTTTACAATTTTTCAATGTTTTGGTTTCTCAATTTTTCGATTTTTCAATTTCTCAATGTTTAATTCTTGATTTTTCATTTTGCCATTTCTCCAATTTTTCGATAAGCGATTTTTTGATTTCACAAGTCTCGAACTTACAATTTGGCAATTTTACAATTTCTCTGTTTTAAAAATTTGGATTTTTCGATTTTTTGGTTTCTCAATTTTTCGATTTTACAATTTTTTGTTTTAAAAAATATTCGACTTTTCAGTTTTTCGCTCTTGATATTTCGGTGTTTCAATTTTTCACTTCATCAATTCATCGACTAGACAATTTTTTGAGTTTGCTGTTTTTCGTTTTTCAATTTTTAGACCTTTTCAGTTTCTCAATTTTTAATTTTTCAATTTTTATTTCTTGAGCTTTTCGATGTAGTTTTTCGATTTTCAACTTATCCATTTTGATATATTTCTTCAAATTTTCATTTTATTTTCAATTTATCAATTTTTAATTTTTCACTTGTTCAGTTCTTCGAATCGCAATTTTTCCATTTTACAATTTTCGGATTTTTGCATATTTTGGTTTCTCAGTTTTTAAATATTCAGTTTCTCAGTCTTTAACTTTTGATATTTTAAATTTTCAGTCCTTCAATTTTTTAACTGACAATTTTTCCTACTATTTTTCGATTTTTTTACAATTTAAAATGATATACCTTCTACCCTTCATTTTCTTAGGATGTCATTTGCGAAAATTAGTTTTACCTCAACAGGTACTAGCCCCGCCCACCCACCCTCTCTTCTCTTAGTGCGTATCTTATTTGCCGAAAATCACTCATATCTTAGCGGGTACTAGCCCCGCCCACCCACCCTCTTTTTCTTAGAAAGTATGTTATGTGCCAAAATTGGTCTTATTTTAGCAAGTTCTAACCCCACCCACCCACCCTATCTTTTCTTAGAGGGTATGTCATCTGCCAAAATCAGTTTTATCTTACAAGGTACTAACCCCGCCCACCCACCCTCTCTTTTCTTAGAAGGTATGTCATCTGCCAAAATCAGTTTTATTTTAGCAGGTACTAGCCCCGCCCACCCGCCCTCTCTTTCCGTAGTATTATTTTCGTTGTAATTATTGGCTTCTTTTCAAGAACACGATATTTGAAACAAAAATCTCCTCAAGTTTACCATTTCATATTGTAATTATTTTATAGTTGAAAGAAGATTATGTGTATGTACTAAGAAAATCGAAGGATAAGCCCCACCCACCCGCCCCGGTCTCAATTCTAATGAATTTTTTATTCGTTGTGAGATCGGGGGGCGGAGCTTATCTGCAAAGTTCATATTTCTCTACAAGAAAACTACACATATTAAGAAAAACAAAGCCAAAGTTTAAGCCCCACCCACCCGCCCGATTTCATTTGTGACGAATTTCTTATTCGTTGTGAGATCAAGGGGCGGAGCTTAACTGCAAAACCCATGTTTGAGACATGATCGTATTGTAGAAAATAGACTATTTTGAGAAAAAATAGGGAATGAATATTTTTATTCTCTGAAAAGCAAAAGAAGATCGAAAGAAGAAGCAGAAGAAACCTAAAACGTGTTTAAAATGGTAAATTTTGGTAGAAAAATATGGATTTTGCAGTTAAACTCCGCCCTTCTATCTGACAACGAATAAAAATGCATCACAATTGAGGTAGGGGTGGGTGGGTGGGGCTTAATTATTGGCTTCTCTTCAACAACACGACATTCGAGACATAAATTGAACTTCAAATTTACCATTTCATATTTTAATTATTTTATTGTTGAAAGAAGATCATGTGTATGTACTAAGAAAATCGAAGGATAAGCCCCACCCACCCTCCCCGATTTCAATTCTAATGAATTTTTTATTCGTTGTGAGATCGAGGGGCGGAGCTTATCTGCAAAGTTCATATTTCTCTACAAGAAAATACCATGTTTTAAGTATCATGTGGTTGAAAGAAAACTACACATATCAAGAAAAACAAAGCCAATGTTTAAGCCCCACCCACCCGCCCGTTTTCATTTGTGACGAATTTCTTATTCGTTGTGAGATCAGGGGGCGGAGCTTAACTGCAAAACCCATGTTTGAAACACGATCGTATTATAGAAAGTAGACTATTTTGAGAAAAAAATAGGGAACGAATATTTTTATTCTCTTAAAAGCAAAAGAAGATCGAAAGAAGAAGCAGAAGAAACCTAAAACACGTTTAAAATGGTAAATTTTGGTAGAAAAATATGGATTTTGTTGTTAAACTCCGCCCTTCTGTCTGACAACGAATAAAAAATTCATCACAACTGAGGTAGGGGTGGGTGGGTGGGGCTTAATTTATTGACTTCTCTTCAACAACACGACATTTGAGACATAAATTGAACCTCAAATTCGCCATTTGATATTTTAATTATTTTATTGTTGAAAGAAGATTATGTGTATGTACAAGAAAATCGAAGGACAAGCCCCACCCACCCGCCCCGATTTTAATTCTAATGAATTTTTTATTCGTTCTGAGATCGGGGGGCGGAGCTTATCTGCAAAGTTCATATTTCTCTACAAGAAAATACCATGTTTTAAGTATCGTGTGGTTGAAAGAAAACTACACATATTAAGAAAAACAGAGCCAAAATTTAAGCCCCACCCACCCGCCCGATTTCATTTCTGACGAATTTCTTATTCGTTGTGAGATCAGGGGGCGGAGCTTAACTGCAAAACCCATGTTTGAGACATGATCGTATTGTAGAAAATAGACTATTTTGAGAAAAAATAGGGAAAGAATATTTTTATTCTCTTAAAAGCAAAAGAAGATCGAAAGAAGAAGCACAAGAAACCTAAAACGTGTTTATTTTGCAGTTAAACTCCGCCCTTCTATCTGACAGCGAATAAAAAATTCATCACAACTGAGGTAGGGGTGGGCGGGTGGGGCTTAATTATTGACTTCTCTTCAACAACACGACATTTGAGACATAAATTGAACCTCAAATTCGCCATTTGATATTTTAATTATTTTATTGTTGAAAGAAGATTATGTGTATGTACAAGAAAATCGAAGGATAAGCCCCACCCACCCGCCCCGATTTTAATTCTAATGAATTTTTTATTCGTTCTGAGATCGGGGGGCGGAGCTTATCTGCAAAGTTCATATTTCTCTACAAGAAAATACCATGTTTTAAGTATCGTGTGGTTGAAAGAAAACTACACATATTAAGAAAAACAGAGCCAAAATTTAAGCCCCACCCACCCGCCCGATTTCATTTCTGACGAATTTCTTATTCGTTGTGAGATCAGGGGGCGGAGCTTAACTGCAAAACCCATGTTTGAGACATGATCGTATTGTAGAAAATAGACTATTTTGAGAAAAAATAGGGAAAAATTATTTTTATTCTCTTAAAAGTAAAAGAAGATCGAAAGAAGAAGCAGAAGAAACCTAAAACGTGTTTAAAATGATAAATTTTGGTAGGAAAATATGGATTTTGCAGTTAAACTCCGCCCTTCTATCTGACAACGAATAAAAAATTCATCACAACTGAGGTAGGGGTGGGTGGGTGGGGCTTAATTATTGACTTCTCTTCAACAACACGACATTTGAGACATAAATTGAACCTCAAATTCGCCATTTGATATTTTAATTATTTTATTGTTGAAAGAAGATTATGTGTATGTACAAGAAAATCGAAAGATAAATGTCAATTCTAATGAATTTTTTATTCGTTGTGAGAGGGGGGGGGCGGAGCTTATCTGCAAAGTTCATATTTCTCTACAAGAAAATGCCATGTATTAAGTATCGTGTGGTTGAAAGAAAACTACACATATTAAGAAAAACAAAGCCAAAGTTTAAGCCCCACCCACCCGCCCGATTTCATTTGTGACGAATTTCTTATTCGTTGTGAGATCAAGGGGCGGAGCTTAACTGCAAAACCCATGTTTGAGACACGATCGTATTGTAGAAAATAGACTATTTTGAGAAAAAATAGGGAAAGAATTTTTTTTTTTCTTAAAAGCAAAAAAAGAAGAAGCAGAAGAAACCTAAAACGTGTTTAAAATGGTAAATTTTGGCAGAAAATGTGGATTTTGCAGTTAAACTCCGCCCTTCTATCTGACAACAAATAAAAAATTCATCACAATTGAGGTAGGGGTGGGTGGGTGGGGCTT